AGGGAGCCCGATGCGGGACTCGATCCAGGGACTCCAGGATCATGACCTGAGCCGAAGGCAGTTGCTTAACCAACTGAGCCACCCAGGCGCCCCTTGACACATATTTTTATCTCTATTGGGTGAATACCCAGAAGCAGTGTAGTTAAACATAACACCTATTATAGCCCAGTACAGGGCAGATGCAGGTACAAAATTTAAGAGAGACTGGAAAATAATTTTTCTAAATGGTTGTACCATTTTACATGCCTACTCCACAATGTATGCATGTCCAAGTTACTCCAGTTGTGCTTCTGCCCTGGCTTTGAATCAAGGTACATCTTAAAGTTACCAATTATGTCACTCACATTTGGGGCTAATTTATTTTATAGGAAAACAATTGACTTTTGTACATTAACCTTGTATCCTACAACCTTGCTCTAATCACTTACTAGTTCCAGTTTTTTTTTTTTACATCAGTGATCATGTCATCTATCAACTAAAGAGAATTTTATTTCTTCTTTCCCAATCTGTATACCTTTTATTTCCTTTCTTGCCTTATTGCATTAACAAAGACTTCCAGTACAATGTTAAGAAGGAGCAGTGAGAGGGAACATCCTTGTCTTGGACCTGATCTCAGTGGGAAAGCTTTGAGTCTCTCAGTCTTAAGTAGGATGTTAGCTGTAGGAATTTTGTAGACAGTCTATCAAGTTGAGAAAGTTCCCCTCTATTCCTAGTTTACTGAAACTTTTTATGATGAATGGATGTTGCCTTTTGTCAAATGCTTTTTCTGCATCTTTTGATATGATCATGTGATATTTCTTTTTTAGTGTGTTAATATGATAGATTCCATTAATTGATTTTTAAATTTTGAACTAGCCTTGCATACCCGGGATAAATCCCTCTTGGTCACGGTGTATAATTCATTTTATACTCTTTTGGATTCAATTTGCTAATCTTCAATTTGTTGAGGATTTTTCAGTTGTGTTCATGAGAAATATTTGTTTGTAGTTTTCTTGTAATGTCTTTATCTGGTTTTGGTATTAGAGCAATTCTGGCTTCATAGAATGAGTTGGGCAGTATTCCCTCTGCTTGTATTCTCTGAAAGAGATTGCAGAGAATTGGTATAATTTTTCCTTAAGTTGGTAGAAATTACCAGTCAACCCATCTGGGCCTAGAGCTTTCTGTTTTGGAAGGTTTTTAATTATTGATTCAATTTCTTTAATAGATATAGGCCTATTTAGATAATCTATTTCTTTTTGCATGAGTGTCTTGGCCTATTTTGTCTTTCAAGGAATTGGTCCATTTTATATAGATTATCACATATGTGGGTAGAGTTGTTATCCTTCCATTTAAAAAGAATATAATATGCCCCTCCGCTTCTTAGGTAAATGGTAGCAAATTATACAACTTTTCTCTTTCTTGGTCTCATCTTAGTTACATGCATAACTTGTCTTTCAAGCACTGGTAGAATAGTGTGTTTATTTGAACCATGATGACACATACTCTATGACCCCATTCAGTCTGGATAACTACCTCATAGTATCAAGTTGTTTCTTAGCTTCATTACAATATAAATGCTTTTTCATGTATTTAATTTAGGCAATGTTGGATCTAGGTATGCTCTCTGAGGGTAGAAACCAGTTCCATTTAACTTATTGAGTAAATTTGTTTGGGGGCATTTTATGAGATTTGGACCTAGTTCTAGGCAAGAGTAGAGAGGTATGTAGAAAGATAGTGCCCCATAAATGATATAGCTTCCTACTGATGATTTTTTGAGAAATATTTTTATTATACATGTTTCGCAGTTATGCAGACATTTTCTTTTCTTTTTTTCTTTTTACAGTCACAGGATTTGATCTATGGGGCGCAGTAGTGGCAACAGGGGTGGTCTGTACATTCTACTGCACACTGGTATGTCAAGAACATTATCTCTTCTTTACTCTACCAACTGCTTTCCAAAGTTGAAAATTCCAATAGTTGTGTTCTGCAAACTAGGTTTTTCATATGTCCTCCCCTACTCCTACCTCCCACAGTGTAACTTTTTATAAGAAATATTCCGTCTAGGGAAAAATTTGATTCTTTTTTTTTTTTTTAAGATTTTATTTATTTGACAGAGAGAGAGATAGCGAGAGCAGCAACACAAGCAGGGAGAGAGGGAGAGGGAGAAGCAGGCTCCCCGCTGAGCAAGGAGACTGATGTGGGGCTTGATCCCAGGGCCCTGGGATCATGACCTGAGCCAAAGGCAGATGCTTAACGACTGAGCCACCCAGGTGCCCCGAAAAATTTGATTCTTTATAGAACATTGATCATAACTGAAACTTTTTTCTTTTACATGAACCATTGCAGTGGTCCTCAGTGTTGTCTCCTAATTAATCCTTACTATTGCTAAATTATTATATTTGCATTCATATTATTCCTCAGCTTAGAAGCCTAACTTCCCATTGCCTATAAGCAGGAATCACAGTCAAAATATGTAACAACCAGATACTATGGACAATGATATTATTATGGATGCTAGTCCCTAGCAGTTGTACAACTCTTATGGCATATGGGACATACTAGGTCTTAAGACTTTAGTGGATTTTTTAGAAGATGGGGATCTCAGGGAGGGGATGGTTCAGCCAAGGACATAGGACCTGGAGGGAGACACTTGGGAAGTTTTTGGCAGTGGCTAGTACAAAACAATTTTAGTATTTCAACAACTGGTATGACCTTCTATGTGCATACTTGATTGAATAGCAGCCCTGCCAATAGGATAAAATCTATGATTATTTTGCCTTTTGCAATTTTACTCTGAATTTTCTTCCCAGCAATCTCCCTCTACCATTTCATTTTGCTCCAAAAGGTATATCTGGCCACACTCAACATGTCATGGACTTTGACTTCTTTATGCTTTTGCCCATGCTGTTTTCTCTTCTGGGATGACCTTCCGTCTTTGCCTCTACTTCTGTCTGGAGGCTTGGCTTAAATCACACCTTTTCTTGAAGGTTCTCCCAACCTTACTATCTACCACCTTGAGTCTATTCCTTAGCCAAGATCTATGTTTTCATTACTTTTGTCCAGCATAGTATATAACCATGTAGATGATTAATAATGTCTGATAAGAGCATTAATCCTAATATACTTTTTCCTCAAAGGGTGGTCTTAAAGCTGTTATCTGGACAGATGTTTTTCAAGTTGGGATCATGGTGGCTGGATTTGCATCTGTAATTATACAGGCTACAGTGATTCAAGGTGGAATCAGCACTATTCTAAATGATTGCTCTAAGGGTGGAAGATTAAACTTCTGGAAGTAAGTTGCTATTTATCTCCTGGTCAATAGATCACTCCTTTTGTTGTTGTTGTTTCTGTAAAAATAATCTCATTATTGAAGTAGTAGATTTACATTAGAAAACAAATAGATGGCTAAGAATGTGGTACAAAAAATTGAAGCTGGTAAGTTAATGTGTGAGGGGTTTCCACCAGGTCTTTAAGGGGTTAAAGCAGTCAGATGGTTACTTAGGTACATGGAATGTAACTTCCTCCTGAGAAAGGATTGATAGCAAAAGAGTGTTTTTCTTCCAGATATTAAAATCTGGAATTGGTCAAAGGGTGGGGTAGGGTAATTAGGGAAGAGATAGTGGAGATATAAGATAAGGAAACCTCTTAAGAGAAAAACACTAAAGGGCCATGCTGTCATTTTGACAGTTCTTTGTCTCAAGTAGCCTAGAGAATTTTTCTATTGATATTATATATAAATATTTTATAATATTCTATATTATTTCTAGAAGATTGACTAGAAAGTTATGACTAATGCCTAAAGTGTCAGTATATTGTATGATATAGCATTTCTTAAATAGCTATTTAGGTTTCCTAGAGAAAGACCAGTGGAGAAACTAGATATTTTATCACATATATACCACACAACTTAGAAGAATATTTATTTTTATTTATTATTTTTTTTAAATTTTATTATGTTATGTTAGTCACCATACAATCATCATTGGTTTTTGATGTGGTGATCCACGATCCATTGTTTTCGTGTAACACCCAGTGCTCCATGCAGTACGTGCCCTCCTTAATACCCATCACCGGGCTAACCAATCCCCCCTCCCCTCTAAAACCCTGTTTGTTTCTCAGAGTCCATAGTTTCTCATGGTTCATCTCTCCCTCCAATTCCCCCCCCACCTCATTTTTCCCTTTCTTCTCCTAATGTCCTCCATGCTATTCCTTATGTTCCACAAATAAGTGAAACCATATGATAATTGACTTTCTCTGCTTGACTTATTTCACTTAGCATAAT